TTCAGTGATCTCTTGGTTATTTAGTAACTTATTGTTTAGCCTCCATGTGTTTGCATTTTTTACGTTTTTCTCCCTGTAATTCATTTCTAATCTCATAGTGTTGTGGTCAGAAAAGATGCTTGATATGATTGCAATTTTCTTAAATTTAGTGAGGCTTGATTTGTGACCCAAGATGTAATCTATCTTGGAGAATGTTCCGTGCACACTTGAGAAGAAAGTGTAATCTGCTGGTTTTGGATGGAATGTCCTATAAATATCAATTAAATCTATCTGGTCTATTGTGTCATTTAAAGCTTCTGTTTCCTTATTTATTTTCATTTTGTATGATCTGTCCATTGGTGTAAGTGAGGTGTTAAAGTCCCCCACTATTATTGTGTTACTGTCGATTTCCTCTTTTATAGCTGTTAGCATTTGCCATACGTATTGAGGTGCTCCTATGTTGAGGGCATATATATTTATAATTGTTATATATTCTTCTTGGATTGATCCCTTGATCAGTATGTAGTGTGCTTCTTTGTCTTTTGTAACATTCTTTATTTTAAAGTCTATTTTATCTGATAGAGTATTGCTACTCCAGCTTTCTTTTGATTTTTTTCTTTCTTTTTCCATCCCCTCACTTTCAGTCTGTATGTGTCCTTAGGTCTGAAGTGGGTTACTTTTAGACAGCATATATATGGGTCTTGTTTTTATATCCATTCAGAGAGCTTGTGTCTTTTGGCTGGAGCATTTAATCCATTCACCTTTAAGGTAATTATCAGTATGTATGTTCCTGTTACCATTTTCTTAATTGTTTTTTTTCATTTGTTTGTTTTGTTTTTTTTGCGGTACGCGGGCCTCTCACTGTCGTGGCCTCTCCCTTTGTGGAGCACAGGCTCCGGACGCGCAGGCTCAGCAGCCATGGCCCACGGGCCCAGCCGCTCCGCGGCATGTGGGATCTTCCCAGACCAGGGCACGAACCCGTGTCCCCTGCATCGGCAGGCGGACTCTCAACCACTGCGCCACTAGGGAAGCCCTTGGGTTTGTTTTTGTAGGTCCTTTTCTTCTCTTGTGTTTCCCACTTAGAGAAGTTCCTTTAGCATTTGTTGTAGAGCTGGTTTGGTGGTGCTGAATTCTCTTAGCTTTTCTTGTCTGTAAATCTTTTGATTTCTCCATCGAAGCTGAATGAGATCCTTTCTGGGTAGAGTAATCTTGGTTGTAGTTTCTTCCCTTTCATCACTTTAAATACATCATGCCACTCCCTTCTGGCTTGTAGAATTTCTGCTGAGAAATCAGCTATTAACCTTATGGGAGTTCCCTTGTATGTTATTTGTTGTTTTTCCCTTGTTGCTTTTAATAATTTTTCTTTGTCTTTAATTTTTGCCAATTTGGTTACTATGTGTCTCGGTGTGTTTCTCCTTGGGTTTAGCCTGCCTGGGACTCTCTGCGCTTCCTGGACTTGGGTGGCTATTTCCTTTCCCGTGTTAGGGAAGTTTTCGACTATAATCTCTTCAGATATTTTCTTGGGTCCTTTCTGTTTTCCTTCTGGGACCCCTATAATGTGTATGTTGGTGCGTTTAATGTTGTCCCAGAGGTCTCTTAGGCTGTCTTCATTTCTTTTCATTCTTTTTTCTTTATTCTGTTCTGCAGCAGTGAATTCCACCATTCTGTCTTCCAGGTCGCTCATCCGTTCTTCTCCCTCAGTTATTTTGCTATTGATTCCTTCTAGTGTATTTTTCATTTCATTTATTGTATTGTTCTCCTCTGTTTGTTTGTTCTTTAATTCTTCTAGGTGTTTTTTTCTTTCATTCTTCTAGGTCTTTGTTAAACATTTCTTGCATCTTCTCAATCTTTGCCTCCATTCTTTTTCAAGGTCCTGGATCATCTTCACTGTTATTATTCTGAATTCTTTTTCTGGAAGGTTGCCTGTCTCCACTTCATTTAGTTGTGTTCCTGGGGTTTTATCTTGTTCCTTCATCTGGTACCTAGCCCTCTGCCTTTTCACTTTGTCTGTCTTTCTGTGAATGTGTTTTTTGTTCCACAGGCTGCAGGATTGTAGGTTTTCTTGCTTCTGTTGTCTGCCTTCTGGTAGATGAGGCTATCTAAGAGGCTTGTGCAAATTTTCTGATGGGAGGGACTGGTGGTGGGTAGAGCTGGGTGTTGCTTTGGTGGGCAGAGCTCAGTAAAACTTTCATCTGTTTGTCTGCTGATGGGTGGGGCGGGGTTCCCTCCCTGTTGGTTGTTTGGCCTGAGGCGACCGAGCACTGGAGACTACAGGCTCTTTGGCGGGGCTAATGTTAGATTCCGGGGGTGGGGGGGGGGCTCATGCCAAGGATTACTTCCCAGAACTTCTGCTGCCAGTGTCCTTGTCCCACCAGTGAGCCACAGCCATCCCCCACCTCTTCAGGAGACCCTCCAAGAATAGCAGGTGGGTCTGGTTCAGCCTCCTATGGGGTCACTGCTCCTTCCCTCTGAGCCCTGACACACACACTACTTTGTATGTGCCCTTCAAGAGTGGAGTCTCTGTTTCCCCCAGTCCTGTCAATATCCTGCAAACAAATCCCATTAGCCGTCAAAATCTGAATCTCTGGGAATTCCTCCTTCCTTTGCCAGACCCCCAGGTTGGGAAGCCTGACGTGGTACTCAGAAACTTCATTCCAGTGAGTGGACTTCTGTGGTACAATTGTTCTCCAGTTTGTGAGTCACCCACCCAGCAGTTATGGGATTTGATTTTATTGTGATTGTGCCCGTCCTGCTGTCTCATTATGGCTTCTCCTTTGTCTTTGGTTTTGGGGTATCTTTTTTGGTGAGTTCAAGTGTCTTCCTGTCGATGACTGTTCAGCAGTTAGTTGTGATTCCAGTGCTCTCGCAAGATGGAGTGAGTGCATGTCCTTTTACTCCACCATCTTGAACCTGCCTCTCTAATAAGTCTTGACATCAGGTAGAGTGATTCCTCCCACTTTATTCATTTTCAGAAAAGTTTTAGCTATTTTAGAATGTTCCTTTGCCATTCCATGTAAGTTTTAGAGTAATCTTTTCTGTATCTACAAAAAAGCTTGCTGCGATTATGATAGGAATTGTGTTAAACTTGTACATTAATTTAAGGAGAATTGACATCTATATTATGTTGAGTCTTCCAGTCTGTAAATAAAATATGTCTCTCCACTTACTTATATCTTTTTTGGTTTCCTTTATCAGTGTTTTGTAGTTTTTAGCTTGTAAGTCCTGTGCATGTTTTGTTAGATTTATATTTAAATGATACTGTATTTTTAATTTTGGTTTCTGTGTGTTCATTTATACAGTTGGTTTTTATATGTTGATCTTGTGACTTTGTTGAATTCACTTATTAGTTCTCAGATTTTGTTTTTTGTAGATTCTGTGAGATTCCCTGCATAGGTCATTATGTCATCTGCAAATAGCAATAGTTTTATGTCTTCCTTTTCTATCTTTATGCCTTTTATTTCCTTTTTTTTTTTTTGCCTTATCGCATTGGCTAGAACTTCCAGTATTATGTTGAATCGGAGTAATGAGAGCAGACATATTTTTCTTGTTCCTCATTTAGTTCTTTCACCATTAAGTATATTCCAAACTTTGCTTTGGAGGTTTTTTGTAGATGTTCTTTATCAAGTTGAGGAAACTCTATTTCTAGTTTTCTAAGTGTTTTTATTATGAATGGGTGTTGAATTCTGTTAGATGATTTTTCTGCATCAATTATATGGTTGTGTGATTTTTTTTTTTCTTCTTTAGCCTATTAGATTGTGGATTATATTGATTGATTTACCAGTAGTGAAACAGCCTTGCATCCATCTTGGTCATGGTGTACAATTCTTTTTGTATGTTTTTGAATTCTATTTGCTAATATTTTATTGAGGATTTTTATATCTATATTCATGGTAGATATTGATCTGTAGGTTTCTATTTTTTGGTGCTATCTTTGGTTTCGGTATTAGGTGGAAGATTGTGAACATCTTGAGGGAAGACAGTGATAATGACCACTAAGTCATGGACTTGGGGTATGGGAACATCAGAAAGAATCCAGGCAGGGAAAGAGAATCCAAGGAAGGGAAGTGGTGTTGTTTGGCTGGATACACTATTGCTCGGGTGAGTGTAGGGCAGTGTACCGGAACAGAGGGGTGAGGATGAAATCTGATTGTTATGGATGGAACAGTTACTGTAGTTGGTTTATGGAGGATCTTAGATAATAATGATGTGGTAGGGCTGGGAATATGTTGACTGTAGGGAAAAAAATTAATATAGGAGTGTTAGGGAATGAATACTGGAGACAGATCTTGGACCTGAAGGTGATGTGGACAGACCTTATGGAAAGATCAGTCTCAAGCAGGAAAGTGACCAGCTCTCTCTCGGACTTCTGGGAAGGAGGAGGGATTGATATGGAAAGCATGGGGTCCTTAGAAGTGATATTAACATCTGGTCATGTCTCTCCTTATGCTTTGTTTGGGAGGAAGGGCATATGCCTAAAACCAATGGAATCAGAGATCTGCACAGAAATGGGAGCAAGTACCATCTACTGACACTCTCTGTGGGGGTAGTTATGATGATACATCAGAGCTTCCTTTAGGTCCTTAGGCCAGTTTTTAGTTTTCATCTGTTTGTTATTTGTTTCGTTTTTAACAGACCAATGATGACCACAGTTAGCACAGGTAAGTGTAGAAACTCTTCTTTGATTAAACTTCAAAATTGAGAAGTCATTGGAAGTCCTTCTGGTCAGCTGCTCAGTTCTAGTCCTGTCCAGCATTCATCATGAGAGGGCCTTTGGCTCCATCCTTTGTTGAGCCAGAGAGCCACTGACCATCAGTTTGTAATCAGCAGTTCAGACTTAGTCTTCAGACCACTTCTGCCTAATCTCTTCCAAAAAATAGAAGAAAAAAGAATACTCCCTAATTTCTTGTTATGATTCTGATACCAAAGTCAGATAAGGACCAGTTTCCATCCCTAGCAGTCGTTCCCTTCCTCATGCCTTCATATGCTGGCACTCAGGAAGCTGATTTCTGTTCTTATTGCAGCTGCAGTCGACTCCGCCAGGTTCAGAGCATCCTGACCCAGAGCAGCAAGTCTCAACCCGATGGAATCCTCTGCATCCTAGGTCAGTGCTTTTAACAAGGTGGGACTCAGGGCTGGGACAACTTGGCTTCTGTTCACAGGAAGATATTAATAATAGTATCATCACTGTGAGATAAGCTGTGAGTTAGTATTCTTCTCCCAGCTTTTGTTCCCCTGAGATCTGTTGCTGTTTTAATGAGGTCAGGTGAGATATCAGTGAGATAGGGAGCCTGTACCACAGAGCAGGCACTTTGTACATGTTACCTCATTTCTCCTCACAGCAACCTTACAAGAAGCAGTGTTGTCCCTTTTTTACAGAGGAGGAAACTGAGACTCTGGGAGATCAAACAGACTTGCTCAGGGCCATGGAGTGGCAGAATTCGGCATTTATTTGTTCTTTAACACTGTTTTTATTATGAAAACACATCATATAATTTAAAAATTAAGACATTACACAAATAATAATGAACAAAATTTTCTAATCATCCCAGTTACCCGGTCCCACTCCTCAGAGATAATATCAACCATATTTTTTTTAACATAAAAGGAAACATTTTATGTATATTGTTGTTAATCTAATTGAAAATTTTTCACTTGATAAGTATATCTTGGAGATTTTCCTATGTCAGGTCAATCTCCTTCTTTATCTCACTTTCATTTACATTCACAGTATTGAGTCATAAAACTTGCTTAGGTCAGGTGTTTGTCTGTCAATCACCCAATTTCCTTCCCAGAAGCGAACCACTTTCTTGTTTGTCCTTCCTCAGATAGTCTATGCATAATTTTATTTTTTCACTTAATAGCACTTGCATTTAAACTTACGATAGGCAGTGGGCAGAGTGGTTAAAAACGTGCACTCTGGAGCCAGGCAGGTTTTGGGTTTGAATCTTGGCTTCATCACTCACTTAGCTAAGAGACATAGTTTATGGTGGCCCTAGAATTCCAGTCAAATGCTGAAACAACACTCACTGGATTCTCTTTCCAGCTGCAGCCATCAAGGTTGTGGGGGCTGTCTTTGCCATGAATTTACTTATGAATAAAATCACCTGTTTGTTACTGTTATTTCTGTTAGTTAAGGCTCAGCCTAGTAAATATAGGCAGCATAAAATCATGTGGGCTACTTGAATATAGAATACTAAAGGATCGAGAAAAAAGTCTACTTATAAAAATATCACGAGACTCTATATATATATTTATATATATATACACACATATTTATATATATTTTTTCAATGAAAACACAAATGTTGCAGAAATTGATGTTTGAAGTTGGGTGTGAAGATTGAGGTAAAAACTTAATAAACCTTCAGGACAGGGACTTCCCTGGCGGTCCAGCGGTTAAGACTATGTGCTTCTGATGCAGGGGCTGTGGGTTCGATCCCTAGTCAGGGAACTAGGATCCCACATGCTGCGTGGTGCAGCCAAAAAAAACCTTCAGGACAAACAGCTGTATGTGAATGTGAAGCAAGAAATCAATGAGGCACTTGTGTGTTTTTTTTTTTTTTTTTAACATCTTTATTGGGGTATAATTGCTTTACAATGATGTGTTAGTTTCTGCTTTATAACCACTTGTGTGTTTTTAAACAGCTTCTGGGGTTTAGTGAATTCTGCTTTTTTGAGTAATTAGAGTTATCATAGCATCTCATGGTTGGTTGTTTGGTTGGTTTAATCTGTCCTCTAGCCTCTACAGTATCCTTCTGAGCAACTCTGACTCAACTCCTTCCACTTTGGCATTTTTCATTTAGTTATTAGGGTGTAGGAGATGTTCTCACTGAATTTCTGCTAACCTTTTTTTTAAAACAGCTTTATGGTGGTATAATTCATGTATAGTAAACTGCACATATTTCAAGTGTACAATGTGATAAGTTTTGACATATGTGAAATCCCTCTTTTGGGATTTTTCGTATGTTTTTCTCATGCTTAGACTGGGGTTATGGATTTTGGAGTGCAAGACCAATGAAGCAACATGCCATTTTCATCACATATCAAGGATACATACTAACAAGACTTTTCACTGTTTATATTGACTTTGATCACTTGGCTAAGATAATATTTGTCAGGTTCTGCATTGTAAAGTACTCTCCCCACCCCTCCTTCCATATTGTCCTCTTTGGAAGGAAGTCACTATGAGCCCACACTTAAGGAGCAGGGATTATGCTCCATTGCCTTGAGGAGGGTAGTGTCTACATAAATTATTTGAAATTCTTCTGCATGGGATATTTGTCTCTTCTCCCCCATTTATTTATTTATTCAATCGTTTGTTTGTATGTCTTCATGGAGATTTATTTTATACTTTGAGTTAAAATCCAGTACTACTTCATTTATACCTTAGGTTATAACCTACTACTACTTCAGATTGTTCCAGCCTTGGCCGTTTGGGGCTCTTTCAGTTGGTTCCTACATCCCTCCCTTTGATATATCTCCATAAAAGTTTTAGTTTATTTAGTACTTCTGTACTTTCTGACACTATAAGATGCTTCAGTCTTATTTTGTATATTACCTGCTTCAGTCCTAGAATCAGCTATTTCTCTAAGAAGCCCTGATTTCTTTTATTGGAGAATGGTATTAGAAACCAAGATCTGGGCACTGGGTATGCTCTTTGCTACTGGGATGTCATTGCTTTTAGGCCCTCTCAGCTGACAAAGTAAGGAAATATATGTGTGTACCTTAAGTGGTGTATATATACACATCTGTAAATGTTATATAACTGTCTCTACTGTATTAAGCTAAACGTGAATTCATATTAGTGTTTCTAGCTCTAACCCATTACTACATGGATCATTCTAGCCTCCTTCTCTTGCTTATCTGTAAACTTCCACTCCACCAGTGAGAAACTTGGCACCTACCGTCTACCATCCATTTACTTGTTTAATTCCAGTATGCATGTTTAGCAGTATCAGATTTGTAGCCCAAAATTCCCCCATGGGAAACAACTTTATTAACTAAAGTGGTTACATATAGTATCTTTTACCTTTAATTTTACATGGTCAGTCTTTTTAATGTTAGCATTTTTTGTGGCAGTTTATGTAGCTGGAATCCTTAGAAGAGGACATGCTGCCCAGTCCACTGGTTATTTTTAACTCTGTAGCCCTTTCTACTTCAGGCCTTATGTAGGCCAGGTAATTTCTGCTTTTGAATCTTTTTCATCTCTTTCTTCACTAAAGTGTTGGATGGCATAAAAGAGGGTGTGCTGCTTTGATCTTGCTCAGAAAGAAGTCTTCCCATATTTGAAGTCCCCTGCCACAGGTGGTCTCTAAGCCTCTCTGGTCTGAATGCCCATTACTTTTCACTGGTCTGAATAACAACTGACAGTCCTGTTTCCCAGGCTCCAGCCATATTTCCATTCTTGGAGCTTCTTCTGCCCCAGCCCCTTCCTTTTAGCCTCACGTAGCCAGCTGCCTCCTGCCCTTGACATGTCCCTCTTGTCCAGAGTCATAGCTCTGGGCCTTCACAGATATCCAGGAACCAGGTAGTATATGTGCCTGTGGCATTGAAAGGCAGTTGTGAAGGCAGTATTTAATTTCCTTTTTATTAGTCTCTGACCCAGCCCTACTAGACTGTAAGCTTTGTGAAGACCATCTGTAGGCATGTTTACTACATGCTTCAGCACCCAGCAGAGTGCTAGGCCTTGGGCCTGATAAATATTTGTGAAATGATGGATGTCTGAGGTTTCATTCACTTGTCCTCTTTTTACTTCTTTGAGTTCTTTTCAAACCACCTTAATCCTCCTTTATTTAATTCCACGTGTTTTGGTAAAGGTCTCTTTGAGAAGAGAATACTTTTCTGATGCCTATTCCTATTCTAACTGAAAGTATTAAAAAATTTTAACCAACTATGGCAGGACTTGGACTATATTTTCTGGTTCCTTCTATCCTCAAGAATTGCTTTTGATTAAATTAACAGCTTCTATGTTCTGTGCTGTTTGACTGTCTCAACTATATAGATCTTGAATCCATGTAAGAGTACTTGATGCTGAGGCCTGCTTCTTTCAGAGTTGTTTAGTTTGGCTTCTGGCACAAAACTGGTCTGAGGTGCTGCCTTTAACTTAACCACTAGGGTTTTGCTGAGCAGGGGCAAACCGTTGGGACTCATATGTTCCCCGTAGTACAGTACAGCTGATCAAAGCCTTTTTTGCCTTGCAGGAATCGATAGCAGGTACAATGAAGGCTGCAGAGAGCTGGCAAATTATCTTCTGTTTGGTTTGTACAATCAGAATACCAGTGATTTTGAGAAAACAGGGTTTTCTGAAGAGGTTCTAGATGGTAAGTATATATTGGTGAACTCTGTGTGAGAGAGGAGTAAGTGATATAGTACTTTGGATTCTTATTTCATGGACTTTTTATGGAAAAATATCAAATTTAAAATAGCCTGAAGATCCAGTATATTTTTGCTTTTTTTATTAATGAAAAACGACATTTCTTCTTTGCTGATATGTTAAGTAATATGCTCTGTAGGTTACCTGCTGGATTATAAGAGACTAGTGACAAGTAGTTTTCAGAGTATGTTTACTAGATCAATTGGTTTTAGAGGAAAAAAGTAAACATTAATATTTGGCTTTATATCTTCTTGGCAAGGTACTAGTTTTCCTCTGAATTTTCCATTGCCTCTACATGCTGGGAGGTTCATATTATGTGCCATTGTCCTATGAAAGCACTCTCAGCTGTGATTCAAGGATAAGCCTGCAGGCTACTCCTGCAAGGAGGACTTCATGTGGATCTTCAGCTTAGGAACAAAGGCTCTTTGTCCTGCTCTGTCTTTGGGAATTGTTTTCTGTGAGCTGTAATTTATGACGATGCCTGTGACTACAATGCAGACTTTCTGCTTACATTCCCCTTTCCTTGGCTCTGAGACACTCACCCTGTGTTCATGCTGCTATGGGGTGATGCCCAGGAGCTATCTCTGATATCACATACTTAGCATTATGACTTGTCTGCCAGATGGATCAGGAGACACAGGAATAGACAAGTCAAAATGGATGAGAGACAGCTCTTGTGAAGCAGCTGGGGGACGTGTGAAAGCAAACATCTGATGTTGAAATAATCTTGCTGTGGATCTAGTACAGTGGTTCTCAACTGGGGGCAGTTTTATCCCCCAGGGGACATTTGGCAATATCTGAAGACATTTTTGATTGTCACAACTGGGCAGAGTGGATAGAGGCCAGAGATGCTGCTAAACATCCTACAATGCATACACAGGACAGCTCCCCACAACAAAGAATGATCTGGTCTAAACTGTCAGTAGTGCTGAAGGTGAAGAACCCTGGCCTAGTGTATGTGAAAATTCTTCTGTAGTAAAGTCCTTAATAGTATCTATCCTTATAGATTGGTGAAAGATTTTCTTTTTATTAGGAAGTACAGAAAGCAGGGTGAAATTATTCCTTCTGTTAATTTTTTTTCAATTCAAATTTAGTTTCAGATTTTGATTTAAAAAAATGCTTTCTTAGACTGTAAAACATACTGGTTTGGAAAGAATTCATCTTGGCAGCTCATTTAGACAGTTACAAAAAGGCAGATACTTGTATCAACCACACATTTCACTGCAGTCAAGGTTGCTAAGGACATTGCAGTACTGAAATTAAGGAAGTAGTTTAAATCCTCAGAGGTGTTCCTTTTTGCTTATCTTTATCCTGTCACCTAGCACAATGAGTGCTTATAAAGTGAGCGTTTTCTTCCAAATTAATAAATTCATTTTTTAAATCCAAGTAACTAGAAAGCTGAGTTCACCAGATTTATCTTCTACATTACAGTCCCTAATTATCTGAGAGAAGAAGAGGCAAACACAAAGGATTTATTTTAAAAAGAAACTTTTAAAATAGTTTACGTGCTCTATGCTTTCTTCTTTTACCTGACTGTGTACTCTGTTAAAATTTATTTGTAGTGATGACATCAGTCTTGTGAGATCCTGAGCATGCTTCATTAGGTTTAGTAGCTGCTGCATTATTTCTTTTATTGGATCCTAATTCTTCGAAGTATGTTACACATTAGTACAGAGTACAGTCTATACAGGAAGCCCTCCGTGACATCAAACTCTCACTATTGAGCAGGTGACCTACAGGAGATTCAGGGTGGGTCTCCCAGCAGAATGAGACGGGGCTTCTTTCCCATCCCTTGCTACCTTTTAACTCTAGCACTTAGCTGAGAGTCAGCAGTGAAGAGCCTGCTCCATACTGTGTTGCCTAGAATACCTAGGGTCTGACCAGGTGTGGAGCTCAGAGTGGCTTAAAAGGCCACCATCATGGAGCTTTATTTCATGGGGCCACCCAGCTGTGCAGACAGCTGAGATCAGTATTCACTGGGCTTATGTTTTTGTAGATTATGGTCCATCACACTGTGTTACTGTGTTGGCATTGCCCTAAACCTGCTGCCTTAGTTGCTTCCTGCCCCCATGCTCCTCTCTCACTTCCAGCCATCTCCTCTAGCCCCTTCCCTAGTGTCATCTTGTTAGAAAGAGGCCTAATGACTTTGGTTTCTGAGGAGCCGTAGAATGGAGCCTCTGCTTTTCTTCTGGAAGTGTGACTGCTTTCTTTCTCAGTGTTCAAACTGTTTTAATATTCCTGCCCCGTTCCATGGCTTGTTTGTTAGTTTACTTGGTTTTATTTGCACCTTTGGGATTGCTTTATTTATTTGACCCAGCAGCATCGATGGTTATTCCCTAAATCTGTGAGCTGCTGATCACTTGCCTCTACTTCCTTCCTCCCAGCCTTTCCTGTGTACAGAGTTTACATCTGTATACAATAACCCTTCCCAGGTTGCAAGGCAAAGGGTATCCTCGGGCCCACGATTTGCCTTGAGCCAGATGAGCCAGCAGCCAAGAGCTTTATACACTGATGTCTGCAGGAGAACCAGTCACTGGCCATATTTGGTGCTGTTTTCCTGCCTCAGTGGCTTTTACCTGTAGAGTTTCCAATTGCTATCTATCTCCACAGTGAAGTACACAGTTGAGTTTGGTACAACAAATTTTGCTGTGTTGAACTTTGTGAAACACCCTGAAGGCTGTTCTTTTGACTTTTCTACCACAACCAGAGGGCCACAGTAGTGGAAGCATAGCATGGGGATGAGGAAATGCTTGCTGTCCACACTTGAGTGTTCTATAGTCACTTTGAAGCACATTGCCTAATTAAAGAATTTTCGGTTTAGAGTTTTGTTACATTGTTTCTGTAGTTTTAATGGTTTTACTGATTATGTGGGCAGAAGATGTGTAAAGGAAATGCCTTTGACAATCTTGTGTTTTAATTTTGTTTTTCTTACAGATGTGATTATATTGATTAAATCAGATAGTGTCCATCTGTACTGTAATCCTATAAATTATCGCTATCTTTTACCCTATGTGGCACATTGGAGAAATCTGCATTTCCACTGCATGACCGAAAATGAGGTGAGGAGAAACGATAAAATAGGCGCTTAGAGACACTCTGAGGATATTCGTTCAGGAAAATGTATTGATAGAATGGGAACAGGAGGTCCTTAAAGAAATCAAATTGGGGAGTTCCCTGGTGGTCCAGTGGTTAGGACTCCAAGCTTCCACTGCAGGGGGCATGGATTTGATCCCTGGTTGTGGAACTAAGATCCCGCATGCCGTGCAACATGGCCCCCACAAAAAATAAAAATTTGTGAAATGTGGTTACACAAAAAAAGGTTATTTTTTTTAGTGGAACTTTTCATATTTCATTATGAGGCTACCCTAGCAATAAATTATATGCCTGAAAGAGACAAAAAGGACTATTAAAATTGGGACCTAATAATGGGCTTGTGAACCTGCCTTCCTACCCTGCTTCTTTATCCCCGGCCTGGGTCCATTCTCTCGGGCCTAGGAACTGCCCCAGGAGAATTTGATAAGCTCTGTGACATTTCCATGTTTGGATTTCTTGGTATTTGTTTCTATTTCCCTTTAGACCCTTTTCAAAGATTTGGCTAGAAATCAAATTGGGACTTAGGATTTAGGATTTCATGGAAATTGTGACCCAGTGTAGGTCCAGAACGTTTCTTGCCATATGAGCATTTGGGGGACTTCTGAGGACAAGTTTTATCTCTTGCATTTAGGTCTCTGATCCATTTTGAGTTGATTTTTGTGTGTGGTGTAAGGTAAGGGAACACTGAAAGTTGCCTTTAAAAATACCCTCTTGGGCTTCCCTGGTGGCGCAGTGGTTGGCAGTCCGCCTGCCGATGCAGGGGACGTGGGTTCGTGCCCCGGTTCGGGAGGATCCCGCGTGCCGCGGAGCGGCTGGGCCCGTGAGCCATGGCCGCTGGGCCTGCGTGTCCGGAGGCTGTGCTCCGCAACGGGAGAGGCCACAGCAGTGAGAGGCCTGCGTACCGAAAAAAAGAAAAAAACCCTCTTGATGGGAATTCCCTAGCGTTCCAGTGGTTAGGACTCTGTGCTTTTACTGCCAAGGAATGGGTTCAGTCCCTAGTCAGGGAACTAAGATCCCGCAAGCCACGCAATGCGGCCAAGCAAAACAAAACAAAACAAAAACAAACAAAAAAACCCTCTTGGGACATTTGGGACAACTAATAAAAATGCACAGAAAATATGGGATTTTGTATGATGTCTCATTAGAGCCTGTTCCCTTTCTATTTCCTTCTTTAGTATGAAGATGAGGAAGCTGCAGAAGAATTTAAAATTGCCAGTTTTGTGGACATGGTTCGAGACTGTAGTAGAATTGGCATTCCTTACAGCTCCCAAGGTGCGTATCTGACAGTCAGTCATTTTAGAACCTTGCTGGGATGGTGTGTGAATCGAATGTCCTTACTTCTCCTTTCAGTGGAGGCATTCAGCTGGGAAACCTGTTGATCTGTTTTCACTAAAGGCAGAGAGGATCAAGCAGAATGAAATTTGGGAACTTTCCTATGCAAGCTTGTATTCGTAACTGAAGGTTCTGCAGCAACACAGCATGCTACCAGCAGCAGTCAGAAGAACTGATAAGGGATTTACCATAGTTGCCATCTATGCTATACCACTTATTATACTTGAAGTGTAGATGTGGGGCCTCTTGCTAATAAGAAATAGTAATTTGGGTAGCTGTTAAAAATATGCTGACAGTGAGACTCAAAAATAATGTGTAGGGGACTTCCCTGGTGGTCCAGTGGTTAAGACTCTGTGCTTCCAGTGCAGGGGCACGGGTTCGATCCCTGGTCTGGGAACTAAGATCCCACGTGCCAACACGGCATGGCCGAAAAAAAAACGTGTGAAAACAGAGGGAAAAAATGAACAAGCTTAGCAGTGCTTGTATCTTATTTATAAAAAAAAAAAAAAAAAAAAAAAAACTTTGCACATAGAAGCTTGTTGTTATAAGAAAAGAAAAATTTTGATTTGGTATTTTTCCCTTGAGGAAGTTGGTTAGCTGTGTTTCTTAAGGGAAAGGAGCCAAGTTTTAATAAATTTGTCTATTAATAAATATATCCACTTAGTGATACAAGTCAGATGTAGTAGGCCACTATTTATTTATTTACTTAGTTAGGAAACCAGAATATGAAAAAATACTGTAGAGAAATCTGAATTTTTGTAACTTGTTTGTGTATCTGTTTCAGTTTTATTTTGCTTGATGAGGCTGTGGTGAACTTGTGAGAAATGATGTCTAATGACCACATTAGATCAGGTTTAGACTGCTATATCTAGGACGGTATTTGATACATGTTGTACTTGATTCCTCTAGGTCACTTGCAGATATTTGATATGTTTGTAGTGGAGAAATGGCCAATTGTACAGGCCTTTGCACTTGAGGGCATTGGAGGGGATGGATTTTTTACCATGAAATACGAGGTATGTATGAAAAGCAGTGTGCCTGGTTTTTGTCTACCACTGGGCTGTTTTTATGAAGGCCCACAATGTAGGTGTATAACACTCTGAAAAGCTGGCAGTGACTCCAAAGGGCATGGAGCAAGTTAAAAGACTTGAAATGGAAAATAGTTGCTATTTAAGGCTAGTCCCCAAACTGAGCTCCTGTGCCCTTTATTCTTGGAGTTCCTCTCTGTCCTCCTTCCTCTCCTTTCCCCATTCTAAGTTCACTGTAGCACCCTAGGCTGACTCCTATGTCACCCATATTTGTCACACCCACTCACCCATTCACCCACCCCTGATCTCTGGATTAGAAGCTCCTTGAGAACAAAAGCATTCTTGTTGTTTGTAGCTCAGAAGTTCGTATAATTTAACTGTTCAAGAGCAATGAAAGGAGCAATGAGAATTTTGTATAAGTACTGTGTAGTAGAGGAATAAAAGGGTTAGATTTTATGGTAAGAACAGTATCTTTTATTTCAGTATTCTTTGCATCTAGATGACAAATAAATATTTGTTAAGTGAATTAATGAATGAGACTGGGAGAGGTGATCATCCAGGGTACATATTAGGGAGGATGACCTGGTATCCACCTGCCTCCATAGGATCCACACTGAAATGACCTGCCCCCAGTACAGGAAACCAGGGAGAGGGAACATTGACATGCTAGAAATGGGGACATACTCTTAGGGATAGAAGTAAGTGAGACCTTTGGAAGCAAGACCCAGGGCTAAGTCCTACCCCCTTCTGAGAAGTAGCAGTGTCCCTAAGAAATGTTCGGAGGCTCACCTGGCAAACCCTGTAATGTAGAGGAACGTGGGCTGTAGGGATGAAGAGACACACACCACATCAGCCCTACTCTTCTTGCTCCAAACCAGTTTTCTCACATTGACCACAGGTAGCAGAACATCAACAAGGCTGTGGGAGCTGCCCCTGATAGCACCTAATGCCCTCTAATTTAGAAGAAGAGGGGCTTGAAAGGAGGCAAGCCATAGGAGGTAGAGAGGAAGCTTAAAATTTTTAGTGATAATGATAATGTTTATTTTTAATTAATTGTATAAACTAGGCATTTATACTGTCTCGTATACTCCAGGCACTGTTCTAAGCATTTTGCATGAATTAACTTTAATTCTTACAATAACCCTCTGAAGTAGGTACTATTACCATCCCTGTTTTATGGAAAGTTTAAATGAATTTCTCAAAGTCACAGAGCTAGTAGCCTGTGAGTGGCAGGGCTAGGGCCCAGTCAAGAGAGTCTGGCTTCAGAGCCTGTGCTCCTAACCCCTGGACTGCCGCTAGATTAGAATTAGAAAGCAGTGCACTAGGAGGCTATACAATTCATGCAGCTCAAATGGGGCAGACCTCTGGCTTCTGCCTTAAGGTGCATCATACCATGAAGTCAAATCCAGGCAATGTAGATTTTTCCTGTAGGGTGGTGTTTTTAGGGGATGGGATGGGCAGTGAGGAGGAAACAACACACATCATATTGTAAGAGTTATTACTATAAGTCTTCTCTCAAGATCCCTTTCTTCAGATCCTGCCCTTCTCTGTAGCCACTAATTTTCATTCTCTCAGATACTTTCCTTTCGTCTCCATCTCATTTCCCTTGACCTCACTTCTCTTCCTTACCCTGTCCTTCCTGGTCGTTTAAGGTATGGAGTAGTTTGGCCTACTGATTAGCTCTGCCATTATACTGTACTTCTCTCTGATTCACATATTAAAGGCCTGATAACTGCCTGAGCCAGAAAAGTTCTTGCCTTCTTTGAAAGCTAGGAGGAGAACTACGGATACTTACAACTTAATTTTTCAAACTACTTTTTTATTACATGCTCATACCCAGAAGAAAATCCTTAATTCAGAGGATGTTTTCATCCCTGATGTGGTAGGTGCCAGCATGAGAAAGGAAGCCAGACCCACATAGCATTTACTTGGTATTTAGGCTGAGCCAAACTAAGTTATGGATATAGGGAACTCTTTCTTCCTGGAAGCAGTACAGGGAAGTTCCTCTGCTAGGGCTTTCCCTGCCTCCAACTTCCTTCTTACTCTCCAGCTGCTGGAACTGTATGACCTGGTAATGTAAATTTACATTAACTAGCTCCCCAAGGGGAGGATTCTAAAATAATCCTCTGAATAATGAGAATAACTACAGAGTAAACATTCATTCACCTTTTTATGGACAAACATAAGATTTTTGCACTGAAAAGTAGGATAAACCCTATGAAAAAATTCAAAAGGTAAGAAAGAGACCATAGCATAGTAGATGCAGGGATAGATTGGCATGCTTTTAAAAAATATTTTCTCCAGGAAATAAAATAAAAATTGAGAAAAATATCTCTTTGTACTTTTTAAGAATGCAGTTTGTAAAAAGAGAAATGAGATAGGTAGAGCAAGCAGAATTAAAAAGGGAGGTGGATGACATGAGGAAATATTGTTATGTCTCCAAATTCATTAGTAGAATTAAGATTTGAATTTCAAAATAGAAATCAGGGAGATTGGCCAAATGGCAGAGTAGAAAGACCCTGAGCCCACCTTCTGTCACAAGCACACCAAAATCAGAATTATTTGCAGAGCAACCATCGATGAAAAAAGACCACAACCTACCAGAAAGACCTTCTACAACTAAAGACATAAGGAACGAACCACAACAAGACAGGTAGGAAGGGCAGACTTGCAATATAGTCAGGTCCTTTTCCCCCAGGTGGGTGACCCACAACTGGAGGATAATTACATTGCAGAGGTTCTCCCACAGCAGTGAGAGTTCTGAGCCCCACATCAGGCTCCCCAGCCTGAGGGCCCTGCACTGGGAAACTGAGCTCCCAGAGCATTTGACTTTTAAGGCCAGCAGGGCTTAATATCAGGAGTCCTACAGGACTGGGGGAAACAGAGACTTCATTCTTAAAGGGCGTGCACAAAATATCACACGCCCTGGGACTCAGGGCGAAAGCAGTAATTTGATAGGACCCCGGGCCAGGCTTACCTGCTGGTCTTGGGGAGTCTCCCAGAGAGGCAAGAGGCAACTGCAGCTCACCCTGGGGACATAGACGCTGATGGCAGCCATTCCTTGGGAGCTCCCTTCTATCACGTGGACATTGATGCTAGTGGTCGCCATTGTGGAATCCTCCCTCTAGCTCATTAGCACCAAGACCTGGCTTCAGTAGCCTGTAGGGGCCAGTGCTGGGATGCCTCAGGCCAAACTAACTAGGCAGGGGAACAGCCCCACCCATCAGCAGGCTGGCTGCCTGAAGACTTCCTGAACCCACAGCTGCCTTTAGACATGGCCCTGCCCACCAGAGGCTCAGGACCCAGCTCCACCTACCTGTGGGAAGGCACCAGTCCCAGAATCCTCTGGGCCCCAGCCCTGCCCTCCCAGAAGCCTGCTGCGGCCTTTGGACCAGTCTCACCAACCAAGGGGCAGACACTAGCTGCAAGAAAACCAGACTCCCACAGCCTGTGAATCCAGCCTGCCCAAAGCAGGCCAGACCCTGCCCTGAGACCACTTTGGCCCTGGCCCCCTGCCCACTAGCAGCCAAATACAAGCTTCAGGACACCCTGGACCCCAAACCCAACTGTGTCAGGACACACACACACACACACACACACACACACCAGTGATCTGACACCAGCTCTGGGATCCCTAGGCCTAGAAACCAGACTCCAAGACCCAGGTCTGCCTGCCAGTAGTCTGGTACTAACTCCAGGACCTGGCTTCACCCACCAGTGGACAGGCAACAACCCTGGAGTCTTCTGGGGCTCCCTGAGGTTTTCCAGCCCCACCAACCAGCAGCCAGCAGCCTCTGCACAAGGCAGGGCCTGGCAACCAACTGGACCAGGCGCCAACAAAGCCTACCACATCACGCAAATAGCCCTCTACAAAAGAAGGACCCACACAGCCCTCATGGGAGAACCCCTAGAGCATATAGCTTGGGTGACAAGGGGGGGTGCACTGCCGGGATGCATAGGATGTCTCCTACAGAAGACCACTTCTCCAAAGTTGGGAAACATAATTAACCTACCAGATAAATAAAAATCCAAACAGCAACTTAGACAAAATGAGGGGACAGAGGAACATGTTCCAGTCAAGGGAATTAGAGAAAACCCCAGAAGATGAATTAAGTGAAAAAGGCAATCTTCCCAAGAAAGAGTGCAGGGTGGTGATCATAAAGATGATCAAAGAATGTGGGTGGGGCTTCCCTGGTGGCTCAGTGGTTAAGAATCCTCCTGCCAATGCAGGGGACACGGGTTCGATCCCCGGTCCAGGAAGATCCCATATGCTGCGGAGCATCTAAGCCCATGGGCCACAGCTACTGAGCCTGTGCTCTAGAGCCCGCGAGCCACAACTACTGAAGCCCGCGTGCCACAACTGCTGAAGCCCACGCACCTAGAGCCCATGCTCCTCAACAAGAGAAGCCACCACAATGAGAAGCCTGCGCACCGCAACGAAGAGTAGCCCCCACTCGCCACAACTAAAGAAAGCCCATGTGCGGCAACGAAGACCCAACACAACCAAAAAAATAAATTAAAAAAAAAAAGAATGTGGGTGAAGAATGGATGCACAGAGCGAGAAATTAGAAGTTTTTAACAAAGAGTTTGAAAATATAAAGAACAGCTAGAGATGAAGAATACAGTAACGGAAATGAAAAATACATTAGAAGGAATCATCAGTATATTAAATGATACAGAAGAATGAATCAGTGAGCTGGAAGACAAAGTAGTGGAAATCACTGATGCTGAACAGAAAAAAGAATGAAATGAGGACAGTGTAAGAGACCTCTGGGACAACATCAAGCGCACTAATATTTGCATTATAGGGGTCTTAGAAGGAGAAGAGAGAAAGGTGCTAAGAACATACTTGAAGACATAATAGCTGAAAACTTCCCTAACCTGGAATAGGTTACAGTTATTCACATCCAGGAAATGCAGAGTCCCATACAGGATTAACCCAAAGAGGAACACACCAAGACACGTTATAATTAAAATGGCAAAAATTA